CCTGACCAACTACAAAGAAAGAAGACACAAATTACCAACATCAGGAATGATAGAAGAGATTATCATCACAGGCCATATAGACATTAAAAGAATGATAAGGGAATACTACAAACAACTCTATGCCCATAAATTTGATAACTTAGATAAGATTGACCAATTTCTTGAAAGATAGAAACTAACAAACTCACATAAGAAAAATAGATAACCTGAATAGATCCATTACTATTTTAAAAATTGAATTCATAGATAAAATCTTTCAACAAAAAAAAATTCCAAGCATAGATAATTTCTTTGGTCATTTCTACCAAAGATTTAAGGAAGAAATAATTCCAATTCTGCATAATCTCTTCCAGAAAACAGGAAAGAAGTCTTCTCAATTCCTTTTATGAGGCTAGCATTACTCTACCACCAAAACCATACAGACATTACAACAAAAGCAAGCACAGACCATGAACATAAATGCAAAAATCTTCAACAAAACATTAGCAAATGGAATCCAGAGATATATAAATAGGAGAATAGATCTAACCAGGTGGAGTTTGTTCTGGGAATGCAAGGCTGGTTCAATATTTTAATATCAATCAGTATAATTCATCATATTAACAGAATAAACATAAAAAACTCTAAGATCAACTCAATAGATGCAGAAAAAGCATCTGATAAAATTTAACATCCATTAATGGTAAAACCCTCAGCAAGCCAGGAATGAAAGGCAATGTTCTTCACATGATAAAAAGGATGTACAAAAAACCTACAACTAATACCACACATGATAATAAAGGACTGCTTTCCTTTATGTTTGGGTAAAAGGCAACAATGTCTAATTTCATCACCTTTCCTCAACATTATACTAGAAGCCCTTGTCAGTGTAACAAGCCAAGAAATAGAAATAAAAGGCATATAGATTAGAAAGTAAAAAATTAAACTGTCACTAATTGCAGACAGCATGATTGTCTATATAGAATATACCAACGAATCTACATAAAAGGTCCTAGAACTAATAAATGAGTTTATCAAAGTTGTAAGGTAGAAAGTCAATATTCAAAAATCAATTGCTTTCCTATCACTAGCAATAAAGAATTGAATAAAATCTTTCAAGTATCATTTATAATAGCACACAAAAATAAAAAAAATACTGAGTATAAATCTAACACCAAAACACTGATGAAAGAAACCAAAGGCAACCTAAATGAATGGAAAAATATACTGTGTTCATGGATTAGAAGTCTTATTAAGTTGTCAGTTCTTCCTGAATTGATGTGTAGATTCCATGCAGTCCCAGTCAAAATCCCAGGAAGATCTTTTGTAGATATTTAAAAACTGATTCTAAAACTTATATTGAGAGATAACAACTAGACCCCCATCAATTTTGAAAAAGAACAAATATAAATCTTCAATAATCAAGGCAATATTTGGTACTTATATCAAGACAGACAAAAAGGTCAATGGAACAAAATAGTGAATTCTGCAATAGATCCTCCTGTGTATGAACAACTGATTTTCAACAAAGATGCAAAGGCAATTTGTTAGAAAAAGGGTACAAATTGTGCTAGAACAATTGGATAGCCTCCCCTACCCTCAATCTGTGTATGTGTGGGTGTGTCTATGTGTAGTTACACACAGATACTCCATACCCAGTTAATAACTGTATCAAACTTATTTTCCCCCAAAACAGTGTCCATGTAACTTCTTTTTTATTCAAAGGCAGTACAATGTTTGTGACTTCAGCTTATATTTATTTTTAAAGATTAGGGCTCCCTTGAAAAACATATTAGACTAATAAAATTTCAAAGGAGACATTTTCCATTGTAGATAGAAAAGAAAATACTAGTTTTTAAATATATATATACCAACATTTATTGTGGAAAGCTATATGCAACAAATATTGGTTTAAATAGCTTCACTCTTTGGATGAATATAAATCCTGAATTCAAAATGAACAAGCACTGTATTTACTTGCTTGCTACTTCTCCACCATCATTCTGCATTTTTTTTTAACAAGAAAATGTTTTTCCCCACACAATCTTCCTCACTCTTACTTTGTCCATCAAACATTCTTGAATCCACAAATGCTTTAAAACCGTGGTTCCCAAATGGAAACTGATTTTTCACAGCAGTCAGTGTTCCAAGTTTTGACAGTGTTTATCTAGAGAGGATTGTTATTTAGAGCACTTTTGGGTTTTTGAAAAATACAGACTTCTAACAGTGATAATACATGTTCACAGCAGTCTGCACGGAAGGACATACAATTTGAATATACAGCAGTAGTACATTTCAGAGAGTTTTGATATTTTCGTTTTTATACACACACATAAATTCATAAAAACAGACAAGGAGAGGAGTTGTTCTTCTCAGTTATTGTTGCTACTGAAATAACCCTATATATCTTTCCCCCCACAGAAATAAAATCTTACTTTTTTAGAAAAGCAGAGTTCTATGAGATACAGGTTTGATCTACTTACCACGCTGTTAAACAATCCTAATCCTTTACCCGTGAAAATGCTCAGATAAAATCCAATTACATTTAATGTTATCACTAACCTTTGAAATTCTAATTAGCCAAGGACCTTTAGGTGTCAATAGCCCCAGAAGTTAATTATATTCTAGATTGCCCAAATTTTATAGATTCTTCCAGTTTTCCTAAATAATCAACTCCTCACTCAGCTGAGATAACATGTGAAAAGCACTTAGCACAGGATTAGGTTCTCAGTAAGTTCTCAATATTAGGTATTATCATTATCAGGCAAGGATCTCTCTGGGGAATGGAAGCAGCACTATGCAAGTAAATATGATACTTATCTGATACTTCAAAATGATATCAACTTAAACCTATTTACTGAAACCTCTCAGGGTAAGATTACCAGATGATACTGAGAAAAGAAACCAAGAATGAAAAATGTTTATATTATTTTCTTCTTAGTTGCTTCCATAACTTTTTGCTAACATTTCAACATTTTTACAAACGAATAGCAAAGATGTAGGGGTTATGACTCATTAACACCATTTTCTACCTCCATGCCTCCCAAAATGTGTGTTGTTTTGAATAATAATCGCTGAAAGGTTTAGGATCTTATGAGCAGAAATATTCATTAATGGTTCTATTATTATTGAAGTAAGACTGAACCCAAAAGAAATGGCACATTTATTTGCTAGAAAATAAGATGTGATCTGGCCTCCGATGATGGATATAATGGTTATAGATGTCCTGCTAAGTGGAACAATGGTATATAAATCGCAAATCAAAAAACAATGAAGACATAAAAACAAAACAAAACAAAGAAACAATGAAAAATAACCACCACTAAGTAGGACATAACCAGGTATGTTCACAACAGCTTAAGAAGAGCCAAAGCTCTTTTCTGAGAGGAAAAAAATAGCAACAACAATAACAAAAGCAGCAAAAATTTGACTATTCTTCAGGCTGAAGTTGGTTGGTCCAGCTGGACAAAAGTGAAAGTAAATGTTGTACTTCTAAAATTTCAGAAATCTCCCACATATGTTGATCTCTAAGGTGTATCCTAATGCTAATCAACATAATCTGTCTGTCCGCACATGCCACGTATTAAGCAATTCAACAAACTAGTTGCCTGTGCTTGTTAAAAAGCACTTAATCTGCTATTTTAACAACAAGCTAATTCACATATATATCATTTATCTAGATTCTCTGATTTCTCCTTGGATTAATTTAGATTATTGGATCAGAGTATCTTGCACTTAATTTTAGTTCCCCAAAGAAAATCTTTGTAATCTTTTTCTCTAAATCAACAAAATAATTAAATTTAAGTTTAGTTTCTGAAAAATGTCTCCCTACATACGATTTGCTTGGCTAACAAGTAAGAACTACATGACACAACTTTTCTTTTTTGCCTTAGTTATGAGAAAGCTTTGAACTTAATTCAAAGCCCAACTATAGGGATTAGCTTGTCTCACGTATCTAATAGTAACTATTTCTTTAATTTCCCATAGGTGACCTCATCAGATTTTATCTTTTTTATATTATAATCAAATTGCACATACTTCAAATCCTTGTAGAACAATTTGGAAAATAATGCTAAAGAAATCCATGTGTCCAGATAATTTATTGGAGAATAAATGTGTTCACCAGAGTTTTAATATGTGTGGAATGATTTTCATAACTACTACACACAAAAATTTAAAGAATAATTAGTCTTCATATTTAGTGGTTAATTCTATTTTAAAAGTTTACATACCTCAACCATTTTTACTTTAAAAAGTACCATCAAATCAATTACTTTTTCATGGTAAACTAACAACTAATCAAAATAGTCATGTAACAGAACTGAATGTTTCCTGATAGTAGGGAACACCTGTGCAATTTTTAACATGATAAAACCCCGAGAAGACTGGCCTAGAGATAAAAGGCTCATGGTCACATGAACTTGGAAATAGCACAGTTGATGACTGTCCTGACACTGTGACAGGCTGAAGTCCTTGGTTTCTGGGAGGTGAGACTTGGAGGAGAGGGTGAGGTTGGACAAGCCTGTAGTATTCACCCAGCCCAGTCTCCATGGGGTTTATGTACTAACCAAGAGATTTGAGGAATAGTCTTGAAAGGCCCAATCGGCCCGACACCCAGAAACTAGACTAAGACAGAATTTAGAACACCACACTACCCACTTACCACCAACAACCCACTGCTGCCCATGTCATTAACCTGTAATAACAAAACCTTGTATTTTCCCGAAATGAAAATTTTGGACTTCACTTACTTACAGCAGAGTTTTGCTCTATTCATTAAAAATTGATAAAAAATTAAGCAAAAGTCATCTGGTTTGCTTGTTTACTACAGTCTCCAATATTCAACTGTTACATTAATAGGAAAAGGAAGTGATCATTCATATTTAATTTAGCTGATTAATTAGGTAAATATATGTTTTTCAATACTGTGAAAATTTGCTATCTAAAATTATTAAAAGGTATGCAGATAAATAAATCTATAATTTAATAAAAATCATTTGGGAGGAAAATATTTTTCTTACATGATGATGATCCCATTATCGATGGAAAATGAGTCAGAAGGTAACCCAGCAATATTCCAAGCTCGAATTGTCACAGCTTCTCCCAGGATACCCATAAGAGAATAATCATCTGAACAGGGGATATCTCTTCCTTTGCACAAATTTGTCCACTCCTTGGTTTGGTTCTTTAAAACATACGCAGAAAAATATAGAAATGAGGTTACCAAAGGAATACTTTGTAACTCCTCAATTACACTTATTCATTGAGTCAATAAACCATTGTGGAAACTCTACCTCAAAAATGATTTGTGTTTATCAGATTTTTTCCAAATAAAATTATAATGTAGAAGATCAGCTATATGTACTCAACATATTCAATGATGAGATAAAGTCTAGATTGATCACCTAATGAAGTCAGAATTTTGTACCTGGAAAAAAATAATTACCAATTATTATTCTAAAGTAGTTAGGGACCACCATGGGTTTTTTTTTTACACATTTTCTTTATATTACAAATATCCAGCAAATACAATATTATGGTAGAAAAGTAAATCCATTTTGAACAAGCAGGACACAGAAAACATTTTTGTGCCATATGGGAGGGACCATGGCAGGGTAATTTGGTGCCATCAAGGATCAGGGCACATACTGTAGTTTGTGATACCCTACCTGGGGCAAAGTCTGCTTGGACGCCCAGGAACCAGGAGGGCACTTACGAGCCATATTCGGAAAGTCAATGTCCAAGTTGAGGTTATAGATGAAAGATTTTGGAAATAGTGAAAGACATGATTGGAAAGAAAATAAGTTAGAAACAGGCAAAGGGAAGGTGGTTATGCATGGTGTTGGGACCATCCTTTGGGTTGATGAGGATGTTGTTTGTGCACAGGTGGTGCTGGCTGAGAAGCCATGGTGGGCACTGTCATCTCCCTCAGGCTCCTGCTGAGTAGGCTGGACTGACATTCCTTTCGGTTTGCACAGGAAAGACCATGACACTTTTGGGAGAATTGATGACTTTCACGACATTGATAAAACTAGTTAATATCATGTAGAATGCCCCACAGTTGGGTCTGTATGATGTTCCCTCATGATTCAATTCAGGTTATGCACCTTTGGCAGGAATATCACAGAAATGGTACTGTGTTCTTGCCACTGAATCCCATCAGATGGTACACGATTTCGAATTGTCCATTTACTGATGATACCAATTTTTATCACCTGATTAAGGTGTTGTCTGCCAGGCTTCTGTCTCATAATTACATGCTCTTATTGTGATTATAGGTTCTTTCAGATGGTGGGACACAACACAAAGACACTCGGATAGGTGAAAGGCAGATCTCTTTGTCATTTACAGCTCCAAAAGAGAGAAGGCTGCCACACAGGGCCACCCAGGGTGTTGTACCAGAGCCAGAGTAGCATTAGGCTGGAGCTGTAAGAGCACGTTGTATGTGAGAAGTGAAATGGAGTTAGCTGGGCTTCATAGGCTTCGAGGGGATTGGGTATTTTGAATAATTCTGCGGGTACAAGGAAGAAGGGGCTGTCCCTGGGCATTAGGTATGCAGGGGCCTCTGGAAGCTGCCTATTGTAACCCAGCAGTGTGAGATCCTAATAAGGGAAATGGTTGGGGTGAGGGCTTAGCGAACTTCCCACAAAAGGGAATACTGAGTTGTTAGCCATGATTTAAAACAGTTAAGACAGCAACTGTGAAATATTACATTATAGCTTTTCCACTGTTAAGTTGCTCTTTTTCCCCTTCCCTTTGCAATTCATAAGCTCTTTTGTGGGGAGATACTTTGAAACTATGAAAATGTCTTGGTTTTTATCAAGCACTCCTTTTTTTTCTTATTCATTTATGTCATTATAGACTCATATTTTCATATTTTATTCATTGAGTTTATGATATGTTATTATCACTATTTATTGCGATGCTGAAATTGTCCAAAATTTGGCCAGTAGGAATATCTTTAAGCTAAATTCTGTTTCCTTTTGACATGGCCCCGTCATTCTTTGGGCACTTCCTTATTCTTGTTTGGAAAAAGATATTTCAGGTTCATCTTTTAGTGAAGTCCAAAATAATCAAGGATAACATTCCTACCTTAAGATCAGCTAATTAGTAACCTTAATATCATCTACAAAGTCCTTTCACCATGTAACATGACATATTCATAGGTGTAACTCTCTGAGATAAAGGTCATGGGGCCCAACTCCTGCCTAGCACAAGTACTTCATAAATATCACCTGGCTGTCATGCTTTGTCTTATTTGGCTGCTGGTACCAGGAATAGGAGGTACGGCTGTGGCGGGAGGAGGGGCAGATAACATTTCCAGCCTGGATTCTGCACACAGTTCCTAGTAGCATGTTTTGTTCTGTTTGTTTTCAGGCTGTAGGTTGGCCAGCAGATGCTTTAGGGAGGTATGCAAGCTTTTTTGGATCTAGCTTGATGCTGGAGTAGGCACAGTAGCCAATGATAGATGGCAGAAGAGAAAATGGAAGCAATAGTTGCTGCGGAATGTTCTGTTTAGAGTTGACAGGTACAGTACATCACCACAAATGAACTCTGGATTAACAGTTTAAGTGGTCCAAATACATCTGTAGGGCGTAGCACCAGAGAATAACTGAAATGAACGTGGGGACTCTGAATAAGCATCTCAAAATACAAGCCGAGGGCTTTGGCTGGTAGTCAGGTGTTGAGACAGATGGTGGAAGTGGAAAACAGGCCATTAAGGGTGTCATCTTGGTGAAAATATCCACCACCACAGAAACAGTGTTCATTCTGATTATTGGCAGAGAAAAGGTCACTTAGAATGTTCAAATTAACTCAATTCCAGGGCGTGTATGTCCTTAACAGCATTGTAGGATTCTGTTTGGGGAACTGGCGTGGGCACTGCAGTTGATGTACTGTGGGCCAGTTACCCCGGGAGAGCTGGAGTTTTCTATGTTTTATTTATAAAAAGCACCGGGAACTCCACAAAGGAGTTGATGAATAATTGCCAACTACTGAGATTCAAGCGTGGCAGGAGGATTCAGCTATTTATTGAGGGCCCTTGGTATCCAAAGACTTGAAATCCTTTGATGTTAAAAAAAAAAAAGACCAAGTGTCGTAAGGCCTCCGTCTCAGTTTGGGTTTCCCAGAAGCAGACTCTGAGGTGAAGATTTACGTGACGTGATTTACTGAGGAACGGATGCCAGGGGAAGCAGGACAAGAAAGGAGTAGAAGCTAATAAAGGGTGAGGGCGCAGCCTCAGTTCTGCAGTGAGAGGCTCCAGGTTGATCCCACAGGGAACCGCGGAGTATAAGTTTCTCCTTGGAGCTGTCCCAACCAGAGGGGAGGCTCATGCTACCATCAGACATTCATTAAGGGCTGCCCAGGAGGGAAGTAAATTCCCAAGCACTTCCAGTCTCTACACGTTGGGTAAAGTGGGTTCTTTGGGAATCTGGACTAAAAGAGCCACAGGTGCTGGTTCTTGGGCATGAAGGCACCCGGAAGTGAGAAACAGCTCTGGGAAGAGCCCTGATGTTGCCACCACAGCCCTTATGCGTGAGAATTGAATGAGAAATCTTTGATGGGGTATAAATTGCCTGCTGTCTTGACCTGAGAGAAACAGATAAAAGAGTGGAGATGACAAAGTAGGACTGAGAGAATGAATTCACAGGAAGGAACAGTAACATCAGAGACTTGTTAAAGAAAGTAAAAATCTAGGTTGATCTAGTGAAGCAAGGAGGGGATAAAACTGTCTTTAAGCCTTCACAGAGATGAGATGGGATGGGATGAAGTGCCTACTTGAATCAAGGGTTCAGACAGTGAATGGAAGTTCACAGAAGGAACTCTGAGCTTTGGTTGTGACTTGTGTCTAATTTGAACGTGGCTTTGCCTCTGTCAGTAAATTTCCAAGGTCTCAGTTCTGGAGTTCAAGGCGCCCTTGAAGCATTTGTGTGATGGTCTGACTGGCAGCCCCCCATTCTGGAAGGAGCAGGGTGTTGGTAGTAGAATCAGCAAGATACAGTCCCTTGCTTGGAATGAGTCTGTCAGAGAGGGTTGGGTTGGGAGGAACGTAAGTGGGTAGAGCTAGCATACTTTCAGCATGGCACTGCAGTGCTAGACAGGAGTCTGTGCAGAGATGCCCAGAGAAATGCTCTGAACCAGCAGGGAAGGGTAAGAGTGGCTGCAGCTACTCTCCATTGTTCCAAGTCAATGTGGGAGAGTAGAAAGAGTGGTAAATTAGGATGCAGGTGGCCACAGGTCTCACTCCTGCTCTGTCATTAACCAGCTGTGTGGCTTTGAGCAATTCTAAACTTCATAAATTTCAGTTTCTGAAATTATGAAGCAAACAAATCTATCACTAAATAGCGTTATGTCAAATGTTAACTATTTGAGCTACAAGATGTTAATTCCATAACCCTAGACAAGTCATCCAAAGACAAAAATAAACAAAGCTAACAAGAATATGAAGGTCATGTACCAGGACAAAGGCCACTAGAACACAAAGGACTAAAGATAGAAGCACCATCTATGTGAGGATTTCAAATGTTTGGTTAAGAAAACAACAATCAAACAAACCATAACAATGGCGCCAAGGACCAACGCTGCTTAGGAGAAAGTCCTGAAATTAAGTGAGGCTCAGTTGAGACCATGTGCAAGCAGATGTTTGGTAAAACTATAAAGCCCTGCATACAGGTGAATCATCATGTACTCCTTCTCTCTTTGTTTGACACCAAAAACTATTGCCAAATGTTCTGAATTCCTCCCTTCTCTTTATTCTCATTATCTTCTCCCCTTTTTTCTTTTAGGTTTTAACATTTTTCTAAATCTTTCCTCCTGCTTTGATAGGGCCACGTTCTGGATTGGATTCTAGTTCAATTTTTCTAAAGAGAGCTGAAAAGTATTCTGGATCTCATTATGGAAGGAACTGAAAAGTGGGAGACAAAAACAGGAAGAAGCATTAGGATTAACTCCTAAGATCAGAAGTTGGGCTAGGGAGAAGAAAGAGGCAGAGGGAGCAAAAGGGAACTCTGGATTGTTTTCTAGGGAAAGAAGCCACTTATCAATAGGGTTCTAGGCAGGCTCACCTTTTGCTCCCTTGAAGTTTCAGTCTCTGAAGTGATTTGAAATGACTTATTGAGACTGATAGGGAGTAGCTGAGTAGGAACACACGCAGACACGCGCACACACAGCCTTGATACCTTGATGCAGTACTTGTTTAGGAACTGAAATTTTATCACTATAGTCTACCATTTTCACATTACATTTTAAGGTAGATCTTTCTTGTTTCTGAAACAATTAAATTTTAGAACAGTACTTTATATTACATCTTTTGGCTATCACATTAATTTATAGAATAAGTAAAATACACAATTAGAAATCATTTGAAAATATTTTGTTTCTTACACTTACCAAAAAACTGAAACCAAAACAAAACAAAAACCCCCAGGTTAATATTGGCAGTGGTGAGAGGAAGGTCAGGAAGTGATGGAAGAGCTTCCCTTACCTGTCTATAGCTAGATGTAAAGGCTCCCAGGTAAGCGACAACTCCTGAGGAAACGAGGATATCCCCTGTCAGGTTGATGTACAGCTGCCCCAGCTCCAGGGCTGTCTGGCTCCATCGGGTTTTCTCACCTCCAAGGCCTCCAATCAACTGCTCAGCTCGTTCTAGTTTTTTGCTGCACAGGTCAACCTCAAATATAAAAGTAAGCTTTTATCAACATTTACAGATAGAATAACTTTAAAATTCTGCAAGATTTTACCCTCAGAGATACATTATTTTTTTAATTGCAAACTTCTGCCTGGAATTCTTTTTAATTATCTAAAAAATATGACATATCTCACTATGATATTTTAGAATTTTTCTCATATAAATTATCTACTTTAATAAAATTTAGGAAATTCATAATTATTATTTAGCATATAATGCAAAGAATAGCGCTACTTAAGGAAATGACCTACCGTACAAGACACTGAATGTTAATTAAGTAATAAAGGACATTCTCCTGCAAATATGGATGTTTTCTCTCCATTTAAAATAATCTTGACTCATTTTATTTTCAATATTCTACAAACACTTTCCTCTCATTTCACTTATGGTTAATTTAATGTTAAAAATGTTTAAAAGTTTCAATAATTTATGCTTATTTACAAAGCACAATTTTCAGGTTGTTAAATTGTGTCAACCTACTCAGACACTTGCAGTTAAGCTTAAATTAGCAAATCAATCAATAGCTGAGAGCATGCTTTGTGTGTAAGACTGTCAACCAAATATGATTATACATAACTAAGCAACGTGATAAAAAAAAAGAGGGGGAGGATAATTATGAAGGTGGCAAACTTGGTGAAAAGCAATTTCAATTCATGCAATAGCACTATTCCAGCAGAATACGTGAATTATTTCGATTTAATTTTTAAGTGACTTAGCATCATAACTCTTGGAGGAAGGCAAGATTAAATAAAGCTTATCTCCAGGTTTAAAAATAACTTATATGAAAAGAAGAATTCAATAATTAATGAAAGCAAAGGCATTTAGATTATTTTGGTCTAAGAATTTGGCTTATGTCTTTTTCCTAATGCTATTAACATTTATATTAAATAAATTCTTTTAGATTAAAAGATGTAAAATACTATATCAGTTTATCTAAAGATAGGTTTGAAAAGAGCAAAAGGTATGTAATTACTAATTTTTTTTTTTTTTTGAGACAAGTTCTCACTCTGTCATCTAGGCTGGAGTGCAGTGGCACGATCACAGGTCACTACAACCTCCAACTCCCAGGCTCAAGGATCCTCCTGCCTTGGCCTTCACGTAGCTAGTACTACAAGTGCATGCCACTATGCCTGGCTAATTTTTTAATTTTTTTTAGAGATGGGATCTCTCTATTTTGCCCAGGTTGGTCTCAAATTCCTCAAGTCATCCTCCTGCCTTGGTCTCCCCAAATGTTGGGATTATGGGTGTAAGCCACTGTGCCCAGCTGTAACTGGTAATATTTTTGATATTTCCTAAATTAAATTTTTTTCTCTTTTAATTTTCCCTCTTTAAATAGCTTCTGTCTTCCTAGTTTCTTTCCTTACCTATTCTTCTTTCAACGGTGTTTATTATAAACCGAATTGGGTCTTGGACTGATAAAGTTGCCATCAGAAACTACTAAGTAAAAATATTTTAGCTAAAATTTTCCCTCCAAAAGCAGATTTTTAGTACATATATATACACATATGTTCATTTTACATTACCCTAAGTTTCCAACATTTTATTGTGAACAATAAATAAAAACTTCAAACATATAGCAGAGTTGAAAAAGTTTACAGTGAGCAACTGCACACCCACTTATTGGTTATATTACTTAAACTAAAACTGATTATTTAAAAATTGTGCCATAATAGGTCACATTTTTAAAGATTAGGACAGTGTCTTATATTTGTACAAATATAGAATCCAGGTTAGAGCCTATAGAAAGAGGCAATCTAGTACCATAGAAAGAGTGCAGCCATTAGAGTCAGACTGCCTGGGTTCAGGTCTTAGACTTAATGCTTAGAAGCTGGGTTACCATGGACAAGTTGCTAAACCTTTCTGTGCTTTAGTTTCAGAATAGTACAAAATGATTACCGCCTTCAAATGGTTGTTGTTAGAATAAAAGAGATAATACATAATGCTCTTAGAACAACAGGGCCTTGTATATAATAAGCTCTCAATAAATGGTTACTGTTATAAAATATTTTCACTTTTTTTCTGGAACATAATCAGATTTCAGCAGTTCATTTTTTTTTCTTGTTTTGTTTTCTGAGATAGGGTCTTGCTCTGTCACTCCAGCTGGAGTGGAGGGGCATCATGATAGTTCACTGTAGCCTCAAATTCCTGAGCTCTAGTTATCCTCCTGCCTCAGTCTCCCGAGTAGCTGGGATTACAGGTGTGTACCACCACACCTGGATGATTTTTTAATTTTTTGTAGAGACAGGGTCTTGTTCTCACTCAGGGTTGTCTCAAATTTCTGACATCAGGCAATCCTCCCAAAGTGCTAGGATTACTGGCATGAGCTGCTGTGCCTGGTCTAGCAGTTAATTTTTGGAAATGACATCATGAAATAAGTTAGAGCAATGTTTTTAGCCTTAAAAACATTTTAGTGCACACTACATAGTTCTGAGTTTTGAGTTCTAATGTAAGCTCTGCCATTAACTGTTACAGAACTTAGGTCACTCAGCACTTTGGTTCTCAATTTTCTTACTTATAAGATAAAATATGATTTAAATAATCTAGCTCAATATTCCAGTAATTTTAGGCATAGACTGGTAATTTTTTTTTTTTAGAAAGGGCCAGAAATATTTTAGGCTTTGTGAGGCAAGAGGCAAAACTAAGAATGTTCTGTATTACATAGATACTTATACAGTCATTTAATATGTAATCATTTAAAAATGTCAAAACCATTATTAGCTTATGGGCCATATGAAAACAGGCAATAGGCAGATTTGGCCTGTGGGCCATAGTTTGCCAACCCCTGACTATGAAGAAAACAAGACTGGTAAGTTACATGCCAGTATAAACATCATTCTTATTTACAGTAATTGAGAGTTTGCTCATCTTTGTCTATAACAGCACTTACCTGGTTTTCCAAGTCAGCCTTCTTTTGTTTATTTAGTTCAAGTGTGTCTTGAAGCTTGGCCAGTTTGTCCTGAACTTCCCGAAGGGCTGCCTGCTTCTTTCTAAGACCATCCATGGCAATTTTAAGCTCCCCTTCAGCTGCAGCCAGTTTTATCTTTTTGGGAGCTACTATTTTTGCCACTCTACAAAAAGTAAAATTGGAAAATTAAATATCTATTTAATATTCTAATGCACTTTCTACCACTGAATTTACATTTCTAACATCCTTACTATGACTCAAAATACTTCTTTATACAAAAATTTGTACTGATTTCTATATTCCACATTTCATCTAAGAATCAACCAAACTTGATCGTAGACATAAGAAATGACTATTATAATAGATATCAAATATACATAATGTTTTCAAATAAATATTTTTTTACCCAAATTAACATATTGCCAGTGTGAATTTTGGTGACTTCGTAAAAGAAGACTAGGATACTTGTGTAGAATATCACAATGTTAGTAGAAACTAGCCCAATTGGCTAGAGCTTAATTTTGATGAGGAGAAAGTGAGGGATTTTATCTTTGTTGTTTTACTTTTTTTTTAAACTCTAGAATACGCTCTCAATGAAAACCAGTTATCTTATACATATGTATGTAGTAACAAAAGAGATAATACAGGAAAAAGGATGGATCTAAATTCTCTTCTTAGTATCTGGAAAATACAGTCAGTCATGTTATCTTTCTAATTAAATGATAAAACATTAAATTTATCATTAACATAATAGATCATGGTCTGAAACATGTATAGCATTACTATATATGTATAATGATTCAAATTGGGTATGAGTTTGAAAGACATCCTGTAACAGTTGTTTTTTGAAAACATAATAATTATTACTCTGTGCATGATATAACTGATTCTCATACAATCATCAATAAAGCCCCCTCATTCACAAGAATACACATTATGGCGGTGGTTTTCAAAGTGTGGTCAAAGGACCCCTGGGGATCCTGAAGACATGTACCCCTTCGAAGAGTTCATGAGGTCCTCCCTTGATCTGTGTGAGGCTGGATTTTCTTTACATACTTCAATCAAAACAACATATTGTAACAGGTTGAAAGAGGAAGCACATTTGGAAGTCTAGTTGTCTTATATTAAACTATATATTAAAGAGATTAGAAAACATATAATAAAATACCACTCTTTTTATCATTGCTTTTTACTTTTTTTTCAGAAAAAAATGTGGATTTCTAAAAAATAAGTTATTTATATTAACATGTAATGTTTGTATTGCTATTTTAAATGAATTAAAAAACATTTAAAAATTTCTCCATTTTAATTTCTAATATGGTAAATAAACAAAAGCCTTTTGGGTTTTTCAGTAATTTTTAAGAGTATGAAGAGTGCGCCAGGTGTGGTAGCTCACACTTATAATCCCAGCACATCGGGAGGCTGAGGCAGGAGGATCGCTTGAGGCCAGGAGTTCAAGACCAGCCTGTAAGACTTTACTATGCCGACATAATAAAACCATGTCTCTATAAAAATCTGAAAAATTAGCCAGGCATGGTGGTGTGTACTCATAATCCCGGCTACTTGGGATGCTAAGATGGGGGATCGCTTGAGCCTAAGAGTTTGAGGCTGCAGTGAGCTATGATTGGGCCACTGCACTCCAGCCTGGGCAACAGAGAGAGATCCCGTCTCTTAAAAACAATGAAACCAAGCAAAAAGAAAAAAGTTCTTGAATCCAGAAAGTTTAAGAATCGCTGTATTATACTATTTAATTGGTATAATCTCACCTCTAGTAAATATGTAAACACAATGCAGATTCAGACACGATTTTCCAAGGAGCTTCTCACTTAGATAGCTTTTCAGTTTCATACTAACAGAGCAAATGTGAAAATAAAACATACCAGTTAGGTTTCTTTTTATCAGGACTTACTTATCATATGAATCCATTGCTATGACCCACTTGCATAGACCTTCAGCTGCTGTAGAAGCATTTCTGATCTTTTCTGGAACAAAATCTGGATTTGGAATATAATTTTTTCTTATGATATTCATATAAGCTGGAGGAATATTGTCCTTGTCATATTCATGAAGTGACTGTAGAAACCGAATGTCACCAAGAAGTCTCTTAGCTGGGCCCCAGAAATCCTCAATTTTTTTTCCTGAACCTGTTGGGTCAGGAATTTTGTCAGCTTTGATGCCTTTCAGGATGCAGATAGCTTCCATGACGAGCTTCACACCAGCAGGAGGACTCTTCATGGATTTTACCACTGTAATATCCTTGAAATAACAACATGTTAATTATCTTAAAAAAGAGATATTTGTTTATGCATTAATTTTAATTGGTTCCTATCTTCAAACCAAGCCCTAAGATACAGAAACTCACTCTGTTCATTGGGTAGAAATGGTGACAATGATAGAACTGTGTCAAAAAGTGTTGAGAATTTTGTCCCAAAGGAAAAGTTAAAAACAAAAAAAGAATAATAGGAAGATAGCCTATGGGAGATACTTAATGACCTGAAGTCTACTTCAGAAACACATAGAAAGAGATTTGAATATCACAAAGGAGAGTTTTGTAGCTTCTTAAAAATTATAAATGTAATAGATATCTACAAACAAGAGAAAATATAGAGAAATTATACATATGAAGGTCTCCTATAATCCTACTATATATAGTTTACTATAAACATTTCTGTTTATATTCTTCTATATTTTTTCTACGTATATATGCTACAAATCAGTGTATATGTTATATTTTAATCAATGGAATCACAGTATACATAACATGCTGTTTTAAAACCTGTTCTATTTCATTAACAATATAGAGTGAACATGCTTCCATGCTAGTAAACATTTATATCATTTTTAATGGCTGCATAGCATTCCAATGTACAGATATATACCATAACTCGAATACTTTGTCTATGGGTTTTTTTTTCTGTTTTTTACTATTACAATTGTCATGTTGAATTAACAGCTTTATACCTTTTAAAGCTTTTCACACATATGGACAAACTGCTCTCTAGAAAGCATATAAGGCTGCCTGTTTCACTAGATACACCCTCAGCAGAACCGGCAGGCATTCTGATAGGCAAGAGAAATCTTATTTTAATCTATATTTCTTTAAGTATAAGTAAAGTAGGATATATTTTCATATGCTTACTGACTATTTATATTTCCTTTTTGTGAATTACCTATTTATAACATTTACTATCCTATCTTAGAGCTACTTTTTTTCTAATTGATTTGTAAGAGTTTTTTACACAGAGGCATATCAATCCTTTGTTTGCTATGTGTTTCAAATATTTTCTCCAGTGTTTCTCAAATTCTGTCCAGGGTGTTACGTCAAACAAAATGTGTTGATTTTTAGGTACTAAAACGTATTACTTTTAAAAAATGTTTGTTAATCATGAAAAATACAAAAGATTATCCAGCACATATATATTACAGTTTTGCTTAGTGAGTTTTTTTCCCTACTTCTCTCATGCCTAGGGAATCCTATGTGCTACTCCATTTCAAGATTATAAACATCTGACCTACACTTTCTACTATTTTATAATAATATAGCTATTTATATTTAAATTTCAGTCTGAAATCTATTCTGGAGTAAGGTGCGAAGAAAGGATCTTACACTCTTCTTTCCTATTACACCCCAAAATTTAGCCAAGATTCCCTGCACTATTTATTTTAAAAATCCACCTTTATCTTTCTAAATTGAAATATTCCCCTTTCACATCTTAATTTTTAATATATGTCATCAAATCTAAGATATGCTATTATAAAATAAATCACTATAAAACACATTATTTTATGTATTCTCCCCGCCAAACCCACTGGCAAACACTGACACAATACTTTATCACATCTGCTATAAATACACTGGATATAAGGGAAGGTGCCTCCTCTATCCAAATGAATGATGGGCCTCTAAAATTAGCCACCTTGGTAAGTTGATTCCAATTACAAACATGCCTAACTATGAAAAAGGTGCACCTTAGAATCAAAATATATACTTGGGTCTCATACATCTGTCAGTTACTGTAGTGCAAAGTTGTGTAAAGTTCTCAAAAAAACTGTCGCTTTGTGGTAGGTTATAACATCGGGCAGCTTTCTTCCTTTTCAAAAGTGTCTTTGTCACGCACATGCATTCTTTTTTCAGGTGAACTAGGAAATCTTTTTGCCAATTTTCAAGTGATTTCAGTTTCCTTAAATTTGGAGAGACAAACCAGACTCTAGCACACAATGCTAAGCACTGCCTTGAGCTATGATGACACATTTTCTAGAAAGCGTGTGGCTAAGCTCTTACCTGTGCAGTTAGAGTATCCAGGGCGGATAGTGCTGACTCCAATATTGGCAAGGCCCCTGCCAGGTCAGCATCGCATTCGTCTTTGATGGCTTTGGAGGCCATAGCTTGTTCGTTTGCTACAGTTTCGTCAGCTTTCACTATTTTTTCAGTTTTGGCAACTTCGACAGACTCCCTCTCGATGATTACCATCATTTCATCCACTTCTTTGCTAGCAACTTTTAATTGAGGATGCAGCGCCTCCAGCTCAGTTTGCATCGTGGCTACTTGAGATGAAGCAGAATCTAGTTTATTCAAACCCACTTCGTACCTCTTTTTCATTTTCATGACTTCACTGAAAGCAAACAGACAAACCAAGGTTGGTCATGAGGATCTGTATCCTACATTAAGGAAAAAATTTAAGTGTTCTTGAGCTTTTCAGGCTTTTTTCAAGGCATAACTAGAGGGGTGGCATAAAATATTTTCACATAAAATAACAATTTGTAAAACAAAATGAATTCTAGAACACTGGATTGTGCACAATTAAGACAGAATGTCAATAATTTTTGTGTTTTCGGTACCTATGTATTACCTAGGAATGTAACAGAAATTCAAAACAATAAATACACTGGATATAAGGGAAAGAGCCTCCTGTATCAAAATGAATGATGGACCTCTAAAATTAGCCACCTTGGTAAGTTGATTCCAATAACAGTATCATTCCTGAAAACTTTTTTATGATCACTTATTTTAAACAAACTTCAGAGCCCAAAATATATTATTTTGAATGTTGTCAAAGGTGAAAAATGGTTTTAAGATGTATTATGCATCTTCAAATAGGAATTTTTTATTAAGGCAAATTGACGAATAGGATAGATAATAAAGCTCAAGACCCTGTTCCGTG